AGCCCTGGCATCATGAAGTTGAAATGAAATAGCTTTGTCTGCGAGAGGCATTCTAGAAAAAGCCACAATATTAAGAGGTTTCTGAAAAGCTCTGCCCTGGCCACCCTCATTTAGCAATTCAACAAACATTTGCTAAACAACTTGTATTTGTACCAAGGGCTGGAGATACACTTGTGAGTAAGATGGATACAATCTCTAACCTCAGGGACCCTCTCATGATTTGTCCTTTTCACACTCTGTAAACTGATAATACCGTAATAGCTGACATTTATGGAACCCCTATTTTATAAATAATGATCTCATTTAATCTTCATTAAAATACCATGAAATAGGTAGTCTAGACCTCACCTAGAGTAGATAAACTAGTCCTCTAGTTTATACTTGGAAAGACTGAGGGTCGGGGTCTGTGTGAGTTGCCCACAGTCACACAGCTAATAAGAATAGTAGCAGAGATTCACATGCAGGCACACAATTCCAGAACCACCACCTCTATTGTCAAGATACTGATTACTGCCTTACAACTCCCTCTCCTTCCTCCAACCCGCCTCTAGTCCAACTGCCATGTTGCCTACGGCCTGTGCTCAGCCTGGCCCCCCGCTCCACAGAAAGTTGATGTGGTGACTGCCCCAGCCTTGGTCCACTGAACTCAACAGTGTAGCCCTCACAGTGTAGCCCTCAAGTCTCACAGAAACAGTGTTTCAGGCATCTCTTTTTGTTCTGTAGCCCAGCCAAGAACTGGTACAAACACAGCTGCAAATCACTCAGCAGTCCTGCAGTCTCAGGCAGTTTGCACTTAGCTGGTGGCAAACTTGCCGTCATGAAGCTGCTAGCTGAGTGTGTTCTTCACGTGACAGTCTTTTGGCATATACCCAAATCAAACCTTATAAAAATATAAACCTACTGTAACCTAGTTCAAAGGCCGACTTATCCAAGTTGTTTTGCATCATTCAGTAATTCATTTTTTGGATGTTTACTGTGCCCTGGGCATTGGGCTGGCTGACGAAGACAGAAAGATACAAAGCAGATTCTGATCTCACAGAGCTCAGTCTAGTGGGGAGACAAACTGGCAAAACAATGTGACATGTATTCTGATAAAGAAAAGCACATCAGTGCTATAGGAATAAAGAAGACACTGTGTGTGTGTGTGTGTGTGTGTGTGTGTGTGCAGTGGAGAAAATGAGTGGAGGGTAATAGGCATCCCACATAAAAGAAACAGCACGTGCAAGGTTGCAGAGTTGGGGAACTATGGCAATCAAGGAACTTAGGAACATCAAATAGTTCAACATGACAGAAACATAAAGCACAAGGTGGGTAGCAAGCTACATAAGGACCAGAAAGAGAAAAGCAGAGGCAAGATCACTGTGCTAAATTGGATTTGTATCCCAAAGACTATAGGAACCATTAAAGGGTTTTAAGCTGAAAAGGGAGATGTGAAAAGACCACACTCCTCACCACTAGGCTATTATTTACATGCAATTTGTAGGCAGTGAGCAAATGAAGTTAACTTTTTGATGTCCTGGAATGACTTGGCCATAATGTCATTTAACCAGGACACATGGACTTATAGACAGACAGACAGACAGACAGACATAAACACACATGGCCTAGATTCCAAAGAGAATGTCAGTCTTGTTTTTCCTAGAAATAGAAAGAAAATGTAGGAGAAGAAAAAAAATTGACTTCTCAACTTCTTTATTTGCAAATAATAAAAGTTGCTATTTTGAGCATTTACTTAGATGCCAGGCACTGTGCTGAATGTTTTGTATATATTGATTCACTTCATCAATACAATCCTATAATGTAGTTATTATCTTACAGACAAAGAAACTGAAACAGAGAGAGCTGAAGTAACTTGCTACGTGGCAGGGCCACACTCATCCAAGTCTGACTACATAAGAAGTATGTTTAGCACGGTGAGTGCCTGGACTCACAGGAAGCACTCCACAAATGCATAAAGAGGTTGGGTGAGCAAGGGGAAATCTAAAATCCTTTTGGTTCATTTCTGCTCTAGAACAAAGTGCTGTGGGAACTCTCAACGAACAGGGGAATAAACCGCAGTCCTAATCTAGGGCTTGGCAAAGGGATCCTAGTCAAATTAGAACTATCAAGGATAAATATACTAGGTTTATATACATCTTCAGGAAGACTTCAAAAAGACACAAAGTGTTTTCATTTATTATCTCCTTGATGACAAGCACTCTATCATCCAGGTTTCCACTTAGGGTGAAAGAAAGAACAGTGGAGTCTGATTCTCACATTTTGATTCTGCTACTATGCTGAGTGACTCTGGGGCCTTTCCTCATTTCTAAGATAAGGACATGGTTTGAGGTCCCTTTTCAGCTTCATATCCTAGCTCTCAATTCATTCCACTCTGTAGATTTCAGTAACCTGAAATCCTCTGAGCATATCATTATTTTAATGTACATACACTGTGGTTCCAATTTTATCTATAATTCCCCTCAGGAAAAAAAGGCTAAATCTACAGTAAGAGAAGCCCAAGCTATCATGGGTTGCCTTGAATAGAGGTATTAGTTTCAGAATTCATTATAATTCCTTTTGCTATCACCACAAAAGAAACTTACGTGCATACATTTTAGGATAATCTAAATTTGAAGAGTTATTTCAACACATGAGGAAAGGTTGTTCCCATTCAGAGTGTCAAAAAAAAAAAAAAGGAATGTTTGAATTCACACACTGATCCAATAAAATAGACTTCCGTAGGTGTGTCAGCAGAAATACGCAGCTGAATTAATTAACTTAATCATGGAAACCTTTACTGAACACTGTGTGCCAGGCCGTCTGCTGGATACTAGGGATTCAACTGTTAAAACACTGTCCTTTCCATGTCCCAGTTTTAGTCATTGCAAAGTGTGCCCTAAGTAGGACCTTAATATCTAGTGTTGGAAGGAGACCAAACTTGGGCAGAAATCCCCAGAAGGTAAATCTCAGTGTATCTTTGTGGTGGGATAATTGCAGATCTAAGAAAATTGTAAGTTATTTCAATGCCAGGGGTTTCTATTGTGTAAACCCAATCCAACATATACACAACCCACCAATTTTCTACTTACTCTCTGTGCAGCTGTCTTATGTCAGTCAGGTAGGCTCTGTGATTAGAACTAGTCAAAACTCTCCAGACCCCCTGGTACTTGGGTTTCTCAATCAACTGACAGACCTCAAGAAAAACATTAAGGACCAAAATTTAAAGACATTTCACACCACAAATGACTATAGAAACAGATGAGAGCAGCATATGGCTCCCTTCTGAGCATCAACACCCGACTAGGTCTAAAAGAAAGTGGGTGATCACTCACTTGTTGTTCAGAATCTTCCTACGAATCCCCAGTCACACTGACCACTCAAGTGGCATGCCCATAATACTATGGGCACATAGCCCCTACCCTTGAAGAACAAGGATGCCTGTGATCTGGACAGAGAATAAGAAAAAGCCAAGGAATTGCAGTGGAAATTCATGCAAGAATGCAATTGCTAGCAGAAACAGCTGAACACCTTTGACAGTGATCCTTGTAGGTAAGAAGTTAAGAGCCAAGCCATGCAGTTAAGGCATATGCCTTCGAGCACCTCAACCCTGCTTTTGTTCCAAATTGCCAAGACAATTTCCAAGGTAACAACTAAAGGAAAAAGAATAAGAGACCAAGATGCTACAAGACCTGAAATGTTTAAAAACAGAGAGACCTTAGTACTCCCACAATTATCTTTAAAATTGGCATTCATAGGCATTACTTTAGAAAAATTCTCTTTTAAAAATTTTCTTATGGATCTAAAGCAGTGATTCTTAACTTTCTGGGGACTTGTTAAGTTTCAAAATTCCTTGAAGAAATTTTGATCCTTTAAGGACCCTTTAATGTTCTGGAAAAAAGCTATGACGTATACACAAAATAAACAAAATTGGGTATACAATTTGCGGGTATCCTTGAAGCCCATTCATTGACCTCTTCTGTAATGAGAAACGGGAATGCCCCCAAATCACCACTGGTTTTGGTCCTTATCCGAAAATGACTTTAAGAGTGCCTCCTGTGTTGCCTGCATCTCAAGCTGGTTCGCACTGGGGGCTCCCTGCTCTTTCCAGCTAGAGGAACTTCCCCTAAATCCAGCTTCCCATGGGAATAGTTAGTGGTTTTTTTCTACAACATTCCATAGGCTCCATGGTCCCCTGATGCTGGGAGGCTGGCTTTCCTAGCCAAGCGTCATAAATGGTTAATATCCAAACCTAAACCACCGGCTGCCCAAGTAGTCTGTTTGCCCTCCAACCAACAAACTTACGCTCACACTTACCCTTTAAGAAGAGAACAGCAAAAAGAAAGCGTCCTATCAATGCGTGCAAATGCACTGTGTGTCCAGGAGCAGGCCAGACCCCTTCATGGCTCGGTGTGTGTGTGTTGGGTAGGGGGTGCAGGGATCAAGGGACTCATGACCTCTTTGATGACAATGTGAGATTCCCCAGTTAGACTTACTTCTTAGCCCGTTATCACATGACTGTGGAATTCACGGCAAGTCCTGCTGATTACAGGCGGTAACCATGAAAGGACACGGAATTTGCTCTTATCCCCGTCTTCTAGGACAGGCAGTGATCAAGAAGGGATCCAGTTCATATAACTCCTCACCAGAGATATAGAAGACCTCCGGTTTGCTGGTTACTATGCAACTTAAATTCAAGAACTCTCAAACTAAAGTGCCAGGTGGCCTGACACTACCTGGAAAACAAGTCACAATCTGTTACCCCCAGAGCAAACTATGAAAGAGAACTAAACATTCAAAAAACCATCATCTGTTAGGCATAATGTCTCCCCAGAACAGACTCCGTAAAACAACTGGGAGAAAAGTGCGTCAATTAATCAGAGAAATAAATACTTTAAACACAACTAGCCTCTTAATCTAAGTAGATTATTTCTGTACGAGAGAATTCAATTCTAAAACAGCAGGTATAAAAACAAATAATAATGAGAAATAGAAAATTTCCAAAGAAAAACATGAACACAAAAGCCAAATGAATCCTGCTTTAATTGAAGCTTGTGGCGTAGAAAGCCCTACAGAAACATTACAGAGAATCCTCTGGAAAACAGGATTCACAACAACCCCTGTGGAGAGGTGGATGAGATTAATTCATAGCTCACCAAGCCCTCCCTCTATCGAGTTCCCAGAGTACCCAGAAGACCTCTTCCCCATCTCAGTCCTGTGCCCCATCCTCTTCAATCTTGATTTCATTATAAGATAAAATGGGCTATAGTATTTGAAATTATTCTGGCCTCAAGAAATTGAAAGACATCAATGAGCAGAACATTCAAAACTTAAATAACTTTTAACAAGAAAGCCAGCTGACCTTAACAAGTTACTCTGCTAGTGAGTAGGAATGGATTGAATCATCCTGGACATGAATTTCATTAAGGCTTCAAACCATCCAGAAAAAAATAGCACAATGATACCATTTTATAATCCAAGTTTACAAAAAGTTTACCACCCCAATCAGGTACTGTTTGTGCCCATAGGTAGCTTATTTCTAAAAGATCACCGCCCCTGGCAAAGAGCCAAGCGTCTCCACTCTTCTTTGTTCCCTTCCGTGTCAAAAATACCAATCTGACTTCTTCAGGAAGAATGGACAGTCCAAGATTATATGGTGAGCCTGAAGATGCTAAAAAGTCTAGAAGCAGGAAATGAACAAAGCTGGCAGGGAAGACAAATAAAAAACTGTTTCTAATTCATTCTAAAACCCAAGACTTGCACTGCCAGTCCTTCCCCTGAAGTCATCTAGGTATTAGAGAACTTGGATATAAAGTCTGTGAAGGAAAGGGAGTTGACAAACTGCCCTGTAGGTGACAGTCAAGGAGAGAAGAGGTAGAGGTTTGGTGGTTAATGACTAAGTGCCTGTCTAGCCAGCTCCTCTTCTTCTCCTGGCTTGGATCAACCAATATAGATGCGATGGAAATCATTGGCACCAAAAGCAGCGTTACACTTGGGACATTTGCGCTGGCGAGTGTCATAGCGGGTCTTCACACACTCAAAGCAGAAAACGTGAAAACACTTGGTAAGTACAGCGTCCTTTTTACGCATGTTGCAACACGGACAGGTGAGGCGTGCCTAGAACAAAAAGAAATCAGAGTCAGCACAACCATAAAGGTTTAGACCCAAATGGCTCCTGTATATAAGCAAACAAACAACAAGAAAACTCTCTAAGCACTAAAACAATAGCACCATTTCCCCACCTATCCTCCCCAAATAAACCATTCTCTGGTTACCTTCATGTAAAGAAGTTCAGTGTTTATTCTCCTAATCTGTTAGCAGGTCACTTTAGGCTTAAACAAAAAAACACACACACAGATCACAGAGGCAACTTTTCTAACCTTGTAATCCTTAATCTCCTCCATCAGAATCTCATCACATTTGGGTACATTGTCTGGTTTCTTTGTGGTCTCCAGCTTCCTTCGAAGTCTAGAGATGTCCTCCTGTGGTGGGAGAGCATACATATTAGGCACTCTCCCCTAGACCTGGCATTTTTGAGAAAAATTCGTTGCTCCGACCCGAACTTTCAGTTGTAGAAAAAAGCAACTTTCTGTCCTTTCCTGTCCAATTATCTTTTAGGAATGCAGAGAATTGTAAATAGCAAGGTATTGGTTTCAGAATGAGCAACCATAATCATATCACCAAACCTGAGCTGCATCTAACTACCGTCAATTCAGTTCTGTAAAAGTATAGTCTAAGAGTTTAGAGGAATTGACTTTAAAAAAAAAAAGAAAAAAGATGAAAACTTGATAGGCCACTTTATTTTAAAGTAATTAGTTTTAAGCTAAAGACAGATTGGATTAAAATTTACAGAATTATAGATAAGGATAGGAAGGTATTGAAAGAAACAGTTGGCATGCAAAAAGCAGAAAAATTTTTAAATTTTTAAAAAAGCAGAAAAATTATAGAACTTTCAAATCCTCTAATGTTCTTATGCTGCTACTTCTTTACAAATTTACTAATTCATTTATTAAGTATTTACTTCGTGCCCATTAGGTGCTAGGCTAGGCACCATGACAGGCTTTAGGGACACGGCAGTGAAGAAAACAGATTCCATCTCTTCATTCAAGGAATTTACGGTTAAGTAGGAAATGACATAGGACAGACCAATGACTCTTATAACACAGGTCACGTCAGAGCTCAGAAGCACCTAAAGGGCAAAAAATGTGAAGAAAAAACAATTGATCATACCTGGGCTCGTTTGAAATTGAACATGTCTTTTTCTTTGGTGACACTGTTCTCCACGATCTCATCCTGAAAATCATGTAGCTTCTTCTGAGCCAACTCCAACTGTGCTTTGAGGTCATCTGCAAGCTGGGCTGCCTCCATTGCCTGTAAGGGATTTACGAATAACACTATCTCATCACCACCTATTTCCAGTGAGGCAAAACATTAACCCAAATCCAAGCATAAAGTGAACCTATAACTTCATCAGTGTTTTATGTACCTGTTTGAAGACTAACCGTCACCAGACTACAGGGTAATCAATCATACCTTGCGTTTATTCATCTCTAAGGCTTGAGTCCTAAGACCCAGCTCCTTCTCCCCTGTGCCAATGTTGCTTTGTAACAGATGCTCCTTCTCTTCCAGTTTCCTCACTACTTGTAACTGGGCATCAACCTTTCAAAAAGAAAATCACATTTTAATACAAACAGGAAGGAAGAAAACAAAACAAAATTGACTAGGCTCTGTCAATCCACAGGCGCATAAAAGAAAATATGTTAGAAATCTCAGACTATTACTGATTTTACTCAAGAACCCTTCAAAATACATGCAAGACGACCAGAATTAAAAGCTTCACTTTTAAAATGAAAAATATTGCTGATGATTTAAATAAGATTCTGGGGAACCACTGAAAAGATTCTTCTCCAAACTGCCAGAAATGTAGGAAATTATATTTATGGATATTTATCTTCTCCAGCCATACAAATCCCTGAACCGTAGCAATTCATACCAGAACATGTAAATTATAGCTCAAACAAGTGGGTCTCTTTCAGAATGGCCAGTGTTTCTAAAGCAGCCTTTTTCTTGTAATTCATGTACAAAGTAGAATCAAACAATATTAAAGGCTAATAAGTCACGTCGCACACTCACAAACTCCCATACCAACATTCAGAGGTACTCAGGTAACCATTTTTCTCATAAAGCCTTCCAGAAACTTTTTTAAGATACACAGCACGTGCACACAAAGACATACATACACATTTTTAACACAAACGGGATAAACAGAACATATCCTTTAACAAATATTTTAGAAATTTTCCACATTAGCAGATCCATATTTGTTTAAACAGCTGCACTGTACTCCTTTGTAGGGATGTATAATTTATTTACCTGTACCCTCATCATGTACATTTAGTTTTCAAGGTTTTTCCTTATTACCAAAAAAAAAAAAAAAGCCACAATAATCATTCTTTTACTTGTATCTTCAAGTAAAAAGCAACCTACATCAACAGAATTTTGGAAAGCTTTTACTCATTGTAGTTACCTGAGTCTTCAGAGTCAAAACCTGGTCTGCCAGCTCCTCCTTCTCTTCTTTCAGCAACTTATGGATCTGATTGGACTTGATACGTTCTGACATGAGCTTGAAATTTGCATCATCCTTCTCCCGCAACTGCTGCATCAAACGGATATTTTGCTCTTGCATGTCCTCAAAGGCCTGACCTGTGACGTCCATCTCAGAGAGGAGAGCTTCTTCCTCCTAAAATAAGAAAGAGGAACCTCCTTTTTAATAGAATCTTCAAACTCCAAAGAAATGAGCACAGGAAGATTAAACCCTCTCACTGTTTATACAGAAATAAATTAACCTAGTGACAGAGATTCAGTTTTCAGGAGCTTAGTTATAGCTCGAGGTTAGCCCTAGGAATACAGGAGAAGCCTTATTATCTGAAGCCACTGGCACTGACTGTTGGTCTGAGGCTCATTAGCTGATCTGCATTTGAAGTCAGCTAAGGCAGACAAAAACTAAACATACCAGAATCTAGCAACCTGATCAAGTAGGAGTTAGTTAAGAGAATTTTTGTCATAAAACCTCACATTTTTTCATACTTCTGCACAATTATAATACTCAGTTTAATCTACAGACTTTCCAACAGTACAGCAAATATCTAGTTTCATAACAATTTGATAACTGAGAAACAGTATCTAAAAATAGTTTTAATTTACGTTTGTCTTATAAGTTAGACTTGAGCATCTTTTCACATGTTTAAGATCCATTTGTATTTTCTGTGAACTATTCCTATCTTTTGTCTGTTCTTCTATTAGGCTGTTGAGTTTCCTTCCCTATCATTTTTTGGGAGTTTTTTTTTTTTAAAGAAAGATAAGCTCTTTTGTGATAAGAGTTGGAAATACTTTTTTCCTGTTTGTCGTTTATCTTTTGCTTTGCTGCCATGTAGAAGTTTTGTGATTTTTTTCAGAAGTTAAAATCGTGAACCATTTCTTTCATGTTTTTCAGGCTTTTATTAACAGTAAGAAAGTTCTTCTCTACTCCAAATTTATAAAAGAACTTACCTGTTTCTTCTGGCTCTTTTATGGACTCATTCCTTTAACATTCTATGTTCCAGTTGGAAACTGTTCAAGTATATATCCAACTTTTTTCCAATATTAGTTTATTTTTGCCCCACCACATTTAGTACTTTTTCTTTTACCCACTGATTTAAAACTGTATCTTTAGTACATTTTAAATACCCATATGTACTCTGGTCTACTTTTAGACTTTCCATTCAGTCCTGTCTGTTAGTCCCAAGCCATTTTACCTACTGAAACCTTACGTTTCAACATCTGATAGAGACAGAAACTACCATCCCTCAACTGCTCTTCTTTTTCAATTTTCCTGGCCATTTTTTGTTTACTTTTCCATAATGTATTTCAAAATCAGTTTGTCTGGTACCAAACAAAAATAAATCAAATAAACAAAAACAAAAATTAATATTTTTAGTAGGATCACATTAAATTTACACATGAACTTAGGGAGAATTAACATTTTTAAGATAAGTGAGTGGTCCTACATAAGAACACAGCGTGTCTTTCCACTTGTACTAGAGCCGAGAGTAGTACATTTTCCTGATAATTATTAAAGAGAAAGAGAGGAGTGAGTGCAAGAGAGAGAAGTAGCAAAGATTTAAGAAAAGCTAAAACCCCACTTTTTATGAACGGAATGTATATAATTCTAATAAAGGTCCTCTTTTCAAGGTATTTAATGATCAAGTCACCATTAAAATTACTTCATTTCTTTGTCATTTTGCTATTTCTTAGAAACAGGGAAGGTGTTCCTCACAATGAACATATATGTTCAACCATTTTTGGTATCTTTACTATAGAATGTTAATAAAAATCACTAGGACTTAAAAATAAAAAAACTGCATCTTTATTAAGAGAAGAGAGAAAGTCTCTATAGTTCTATTAATTTGTAGCTATATAAGGGACAAATTTTTCTTAATTTCATATACTTGTAATCATAAAGTACATAAAATTTGATATCTTTTTCTAAAATTACATGTTCATTACATCCCCTGATTCCAGATTAGCAGAGAAAGGAGAGATACTGCAATAAACAATGTCTGAACAACTGGCTGTCCATTTGAAAATAAAAGTAAATTTCCATCCTCACAAATATACAAAACAAAGTAACTAAAGGATGAAAGATTTCAATGTAAAAACAAACAAACATAAAGGAGAAAAAAATATTAACAACAGGAAAAAAGACTGGAATAATCGGGCAAATTTCACTGTCAATAACGTACTTGTCAAGTTACTTTTGCTTGAAAAGCTCATCAAATGAAGAAGTATGCCCACCTGCTTGGCCATGGCCAGCTTCTTCTGCAAGTATTCTATCTGCTCCTCTACTGCCCGGATCTTCCTCAAGGCATCCTCATCAGCCATTTTCTTGTTCTCTTTTTTCTCTTTATCCTCTAGATCCTTGAGTCTTTGCCTTAAATCTTCCAACTATTGGAAGAAAGGAATCATACAAAAACAAAAAGCTATAATACAATTTTAAAATTCAATTAATACTGTGCACAGATGGAGAGCCCATAACAAAAGAATCTTTACAGAATTATGAAAGGAGATAAATGATGCACTAGTCCAGCACAGCATACCCCTGCTTTAACATCACTCCACTCCAGCATTACAGCATGAGCAGCATTTTGGAGGAGTGCACCCGTACCTTTTTTAGAACAGTAGTTCTCACTCTTTTTCCCTAGGCCCCCAATTTCAAAAGAATAAGACATTGTTCCCAAAAGTAATCCAAAAAAGAAAACCAGTATAACAGTGATTTATGTAGGGAATGGAGAAACAAAAAGTTTGTAAAGGCTACTCCTTTTCCCAATAATTCTGATGTATCTTACCACCAAGTGGAGAAATCTCTATTACAGATGGTCTTTGAAAGGGAAGAAAATGTTGCTGAGTTTCAAACACTATCTTCAAAGATAAACTACAGCCTTCAGAAATGTGAATACAAATCCCACAAATGAAGATTTTGACCAGACTGGATTACCTCTGCCTTGGACTTCTTCTCAGCGGCCATGAGCTGAACTTTGTCTCTCTGCTCCTTTGGGGCAGAGCGGTACATGTCTAGCAGTAGTTTCATCTCCTTCTGGCTCTCCTGCGCCTTCCTATGATGAGGGTGGTAAGAGGGAATGGTGTAATGAGAAAACAAAGGGCGTCAGCGCAAGGGAATTCTGAATTGAGCAAAATATTTTACAAGAGTTCTATTTTACACTTTGTATCACACATCTAAAAGACAAAACTTTTGCACAGACTGTCAAGAGACCTGGATATATTCAGAAAGTATAGAAAAGTTGTATAAAGGAGTCACTTCTCCCTTTAGACCAAGTTCTCCAACATAAAGTTATAAAAGAAACACTTCTGGCACTTCTTAAATAGGCAAAGTTCTGGGGCTCCACTCTTAGAAACTGAGATTTAGTACATCTTGGATGGGGTACAGGAATGTATTTTAAACAAGTCACCTAGATGATTCTGATACCACACTTGAAAAAAAAAAAAACTTGCCTTAAAGAGATCAAGAGGCACAAAGGGGAAAAGGGAGGAAATTTGAAATTTAACAGAATGCTAATCCTAGATTTGACAGCTGAGTGGTTAACCATAAGCTAAAGACTAAAACTTTATCTCTTACTAAATTTTCTAACTTTTCTTAACTATACTTTTATATGCCAAAGAAGTTTAAACATTTTGAATACAGTGGTCCCTCAAACCCAAACATCAATAAAGGCTCAACCATGACCAATGGGGAGAAAGAAGTAACAGGTTCCACCAGAGAAGTTACTGGTTATGCAGGAGGAGAAGGGGTGATGTGTAAGGTTACAACAGTGTTTCACTGACTTAAAGGTCTGTCTTATTGTCTCAATGCCTGTAGCAGTAAACCTAGGAATCTCTTAAAATGATCCAATATATACACAAACCACTTAACTGTCAAACAGATCAATATTGTTCAAATTAGAGTGATACACACTCTATCTACTATAATTTTTTTACCCTACCCGACCCCTAACTACTATAATTTAAAATACAATTTATGTCAACAATCTACCCAAACCTAATAAACAGCCGTAGGTAATTTCCAGTAATTCTCATGAGTGTTACTTCAATCATCACACCCCTTAATTCAAAAATGTGAAGGATAAGGCTACGAGCACAGGGTTTACTGAGAACTGACCACTGAGCCAGACTATATGACAGGCCACTGGGCTGTACACCTGATCAAGAACTGAGACCACATTAACTGTACCTTCAGTTACACTCAAAATATTACAATTATCAAGTAAGACAAGCCATTATTCAAACATTTCATGCACGATGCCCTAACCTTAGCTTTTGAGTCAGACACAGTGGCTGTAAACACTGCTCTTACTTGAGTTCAATCTTCAGTTGTTTGATAACTTCTGCTTCCTTTTTCCTTCCATCATCATGTTTCCCTTTCTCTTTATCCTTAGCAGAATCTCTCTCTTTTTCTGACTCTTTTAGTTTCTGCTTCTCTCGTTCTCTCTCCTTTTCCTTCTCCCGCTCTCTTTCTCGCTCCCTCTCTTTTTCCCTCCTTTCTCGTTCTCGCTCTTCCTCATCCCGTTTGGACTTCATTTCGTTGACTTCCTCCTGAGATGCCTTCAAAGGGGTGGACTGGGCGGGTAAGTCCTCGGGGTCCTGTTTTAGCTCTGCAGGCTCGTCCTTCGGGTCCTCAGTACTGGACTGAGACTGCAGGAGGGCACTGCCACTGCGCAGGCGTGTCTGGGAGGACAGACAAAGAAAAGACGCACACACATCTATGGAGACCACACTGCTGTTCTCACCCCAAAACAGTTTTGCAAATGGAACAGCACATAACACTTATTCTGCTCCTCCTGGTTACCTTGTTCAGATCAGACTGGGCTTCTCTCAGTTTCCGCTTATACCTGAGGACCTCCCCTTTGAGCTGGTGATTGTGATTCTGGAGGCTACTGATGAGGTGGCGCATCTCCCGATTTATGGGGCCTTAAATACAGCAACAACAGTGTTATGAAGAACTGTGACAGAGGCAAAGGCACAGAGGGGAAAGTGCAGAACAGAGCAGGGACCTCTGAGAATAGGGAGAATCACCAAAGGAAGAGTCCTTCTCAGAAGTGGAAAACAAAACTGGCCAATCTGAGTTAAAAAACAAACACCCAGGCTGTGAACCAAAGTGAATGGCAGGATTTGATGTAGAGTCTTGAGGACTTCTGAGCCCCAGTTAGTACTAACAAATCCTGGTGACCATGTCGTGTCTTTCAAGGAAGGCGTATGCAGCCGACAGCTGCAGGGTAGAGCCAGGGCAACTGTACCTGCTTGTTCATTGGCAGCCAGGGTCTGCTCAAATTCTATCCTCAGCATCTCATACTCCTTGCGGACCTGGGCCAGCGTATCTTCTAGCTGGATCACTTCAGTCCGCAGCTTCTTATGGAGGCTAACCTCATCTCGCTACACACAGAAAAAGAAAACAATCAAAAATTCTTACCAAAATGTGGAAATATCATCATATTCTATTTTATGTTTTGTAGATTTGATCTATAAGGATCTAAGAAGAAAAACAGAAAATACCAAGAAAAGAGGTATTACTCTGAAAAGTTCTAATTCAGTCAATACTTAGTGAGCACCATATAGCTACAAAACACTGATCTGGGAAATGGCAGGATACTAAAGAAATAAAGGAAATGGTCCCTAATTCTGAGAAAGTTATAATTTAGTTGGAGAACTAAATAATAAAACAGCATATAAAAATATGTAAAGTTACATATATTAAATTAAATTCATTTGACAAATATATAGTAAAGGACCAACTACTATAAACATAACCTTCAGGGCTAAGGAAAATACAACAGTCAACACATGAATGAAAGTTTCTGCCTTACAAAAATTACTTACATATGCCAGCATACGCCATAACGGCTTGTAAGGAGTGAAGCAGCTTCTATACACTATCTCCCCCATACACGTAAGGCTCCAGTGTTATTATATCTGCTGTTCTCACTGCTGGAATACCCTTCTCCTACTTTTATCTACCAGTAAACTTGTATTTATCCTTAAGATTCATAATTCACTTTGGCAAGAGGAATAAGGACAGTCCCACAGCCAAACCAGATGCTCTGTCTCCTTTATTACTGCATCCTGTGCACACGCCTCTATTGTACCACACTACATTCTAAGGGATACCAATCTCCCCAACAGCCTGTAAGATCCTGGATGGCAGGATGCCCACTATCTAGCAAAGTAAAGACCTACGGCTACTCTATAAATGTTTGCTGAATGAATAAAAGATTGAGCATAAGAGAGTAAAATTATAAAATTTACAAGGGAGAAAGCTTATGCACAGAAGGCAAAGCTAGGCTGTCACCTCAATGAGCTCAACTTGGCGCTGGTGGGTCCCTCTGGTGCCATGAAGCAGGGTCCGAGCCTCATCCAAGTGTGCTTTCAACTGGAGGCTCTCGTTGTACAAGACAGAGAACTGTGACTGCATGCAGCGGTATTCTGGGGTCTCCTTGACCACTTCCTCCACAGCACTCCGCAACTCCACCTGAGGAGAGCCCAAAGAAAAGTCAGAAGCAGAATCTAGGATGCGAGCCATAAATAAAATTTTAAACTCCCTGATGTCCTGGGCAACTGAGACAAGATTTATGAAGTGTATATCTGCCTATTATTCTAGTTACATTAAATCTATCCCAGATTAAATTAGACCCTCCAAGAAATGGTACCTGGTAGCTGTATTCTTCTACCCAAGAATTGCTTTAATTGATACGTGTTTTATATCATGTGTCAACCTAGATCCAAGGACACTAGAAGAGCCCTATGAAATTTGTTAGGATGTTATTTTAAGGACATAGTTGAGGACCCCAAGTCACCAACTTGTCGTCTTTATTAACAGTCACAGAGAAAAATATTTTTGATATTGTATCAAAAATACTTATGCTTTTCCTAAGCAACTGTTTACTTTAATTGCCCAAACACTTCAACTGATTCAACTCAGGTTGTTTGTGTTTTCGTTTTTTTTTCTCCTTTCAGTTCAAACATCTTTATTCACATATTTACCTAGAAACAAATCAAATTATAAAAGACTGGTGGCTGTGGTTCAGAGAGGGGTGGAAAGACTTTCAGACTCCATTTTCTTCCCCTCAAGAATCAAGGAGAGAAAATTCTAATGGGCAGGTATGAAAACCAACAGGATCACTGATCATGTTTCTTTCCCTGTTTTGGCAGCTAGAAACTGCAGAGCCAAATTCGGTGGCCCACATCTGGCAATTACTGACACTGGAGTGGCCTGTCTACTCCTGCAGACCTACTGTATGCACAGGCTTCTTGCTTGTATCTTGTACACAAGCCCCATTTTAAAAATCCATTTTGGATCCTTGCCCTAGTTTACCCTACTCCTCATTTTTCTCAATAATTCCTAAGTTAGAGCACTTTGATTCCATCAGTGTATCTTTGTAGGTTGTTATAATCCTTCTCAGAACAAGGTGTGGTACAAATATTAAATAAATATATAAGTAAATAGATGTATCAACAAAACTTACTTTTTCTTTTCCCTCATAAATTATAATGGTTCACAGTATGTATGTAAATTGATCAGCAAAAAGTTTCATTTACTGCCCCTCAGGGCCAGGTCTCCTACCTTCAACTTTTCATTTTGTGTAGTGACCTCCTCAAAGTCTTGCCGAAGTTTCTCCAGCTCACAGTGCCGGTTCTGAGCCAACTCTTTGTTCTCCTCAAGCTCTGCATTCATTTCTTCAAACTAGAGGAAAGGAGGAAATAGCAAAATAAGGATAAAGAATTTTCAAATCATTCCCATTCCTAAGCTTCCATTTTTACTGACCCACTCTTCCAGCAAAACCCCATGCTGCCACCGGTGAACACAATCCCAAGTCCACAGCACAACACCTGACACCAGGTCAAAAAGGCGTCCCTGCGAGGTCGCCGACTCTACCTTCCGGGCGTTGATGGTGATTGTGCCGCCATAGAGACTGCTCCCCGCACCATATACTTTGTAACCTTTTGAATTCACCTATGGAGAAAATGGAGAAGACAAAGATTCTTCAGTGAGAGGTCCTAAAATTTTAGTCTGATAATCAAAGTACTTTTAAAGGAGTCTGTTTTGTCCCCAGGTACTGCTACCCAAGTCCACCTTTTCTGAGTAGACTCTTTCAAATGATTCTAGTCTCCAAACTATGAATAAAACAGCACTTGCCCGTTCCAGGACTTCTGCTAAGTGTCGGTTGAGCCGCTGTTCCCTCTTTCGGATTTTGTCGATATCCCACTGCAGGTCATCAA